ACTCCAGCCTGGGTAACAAGAGTGAAACTCCGTCTCAAAAAAAAAAGCACAATGTTAAATCCTCTTTCATCTTGTGAAACTGGCTTAACAGCACCCCTCCCCTACTCCAAAGAATGGTAGTGTATTTTCCACCAGTATTTTCTGTTTACTTAAGAAAGAAAACAACTGAAAGATGGGGTTATTGTATAAAATGGAAACAGCAGGGTTGTGTGAAAATCTCCAGCTAAGCATTGACATCCCCTGTTTTCTCCTACTGTTTGACTTCCAGTACGTTGGCAGCTTTTATCTCTTACAAGCAAGATATTAAAATTGAATCACATTAATAGAGAAGGCCTAATGGTACTGAAAATTGGGATATGTCAGTGAAATGGCTGGGCCTGTGACCTATCATGTATAAGTCAAGTCAGCAGCTTGACAAGACATAGCCATATTCTTAGTGCTTCTGGGCGGCTGTAATAAAATACCATGGACTGAGTAGCTTATAAATAATAGAAATTTATTTCTCACAGCTCAGGAAGTTGGGAAGTCTAAGATCAATATGTCAGCATGGTTGGGTTCTGGTGAAGACTCTTTTCTGAATTGCAGACTGCTGAATTCCCACTGAGTTTTCACATGGTAGAAAAGGCAGGCTCCTTTGGGCCTCTTTTTTAAGGGTACTAATTCTATTCATGAAGACTCTGTCACTAAAGGGCTACCTCTTAATACCATCTTACTGGGGATTAGGTTTCAACATAGGAATTTTGCTAAGGGACACAAATATTCAGACCATGGCACCCATGGACAGTTTACCAGTTAGGACCATGTCCATGGCACCCATGGACAGTTTACCAGTTAGGACCAAAAAGAGGAAAATTCAGAGATCAAGTTGGGAGGATCAGTATCTGACTAGGAGTTTCAAGAAGAGAATACAAATTAAGTGTTGTTGAAAACTTGATTAAAATAGTAATACAAGAAAACTCTGGAATATATTTTCAGAATGTATTTCCAGGGATGTTTGTTCCAGATTGAAAGGATTCTTTCCAGGTACTGGTAAAAGATCCATACAGAGGTTATCATCATGAACACTAAAAATTAAGTGGAAATTCAGAAATCTTTCAGATAGAAAAATTAGACTGCATTGAAAAGACTAGGAATCAGGCATTATTAAATTAACACTCAAAGCTAGAATATAGTAGAGCAGTGCCTTAAAGATTCTGAGGGAAAGTGATTTCCATTTAGATTTGTATACTGAGCCAAGTACTGTATTGTTTGTGAGTATTAATAGCATAAAGAGACATTTAGATATGAAAGCCTCAAATTTACCTTTCATTTTTCTCTCAGGAAGCTATTGGAGATGTGTCTCAGCATTCTGAGAGACTAGGTCGAGGAGGAAAGTGTAGGATCCAAGAAAAAGGATATTTAATAAACAGAAGCAAAGGAAATTTCAGGAAATAGTTATTCAGTGGGCCTGGACAGTAGAATGGAAGGAGGACAGAACATTGGAAGGAAGGTTTCTTAGAAAATAGGAAATTAATACATTGCTTTATGTGTCTGAGGAGTTTGAAAAGAGACATATGGTTCTGCTGGAAAATTCAGAGGAGAATAGTGATAACATCCTTGGAAAAACCAGGCAGTTAAGAAAAACCACACTGGACAGTTATTTCAGGAAAACTATATATAAAAGAAAGGAAGTAGAGTCACTGCAATGTGATTTAAATGGAAATACTAAAATGTACTTTGTAACCATGGAATATTAATATAGGTGAAGAAAGTAAATTGATATAACTATATTACTGTTATGGGAGGAAGTGTGGGTGTGGGATAGAGGCGTAAAGGAACTAAATTTTTATCAAGAAATAGCAATCTAAACATGTTATTTAGAAAAAATAGGGTAAATACCGAAGGAAACTTCTTTAAAAAGAAGTTGAAAAATGGTTGCTCCTAGTGCATAGGAATCAAAGATAGAGAAGGATGGAGCAGGGGACTCTCCTGTTACTCATTGTATGCCTTGCCAATTTATTTAGAACTTATTTGCCTTTTTTCTCCTGAGTACTTCCTAGCAAGCAGAACTTCATTTTAGCAACTGCTACAACAACCAAAGATTAACGATACTTATGATCTCCAAATTATTCTTAGCCAGCTTCACTAGAGACCAAAAAAGTTGCCTGGCGACAATCTTTTTCTTTTTCTTCACTGGCTGACTCCTTTTTTCATTCTTCAGCTCAGTAGCTCTTCTAATCTTTTTCTACTCTTCTTTAACTCCACTCCAGACTGCATTCCTTAATTTTAGTCATTCTTATAAGTTTGTGACACTATCTCATTTTTGTTTTGTTTTTTAGAGACAATTCTCCATTGATCTCTCATGTTTCTAAACATCCTGTGAGCAGAGACACATATTGCCCTTTTATTCTGGATTATCTATTTAAGGATATTTATATAACAAACAGCCTTGTAAGATAGAGACAGTCTTCTGGGAAGTCACGCTTACTGTTCAATATAAAGATTCAAGTTCCCTAAGCCCAGAGTTCCTCCGCTATGATTCAAACAAACTGTAAGTGTAACATCTACCCAATCCCCTCCTTGCCACCCTTGTGGGACTTGGGCAAAGGAAATTCAGCAAACATTATCATCCTGTTACTTCCTGTGCTCCTGAGGAGTAGAATTCTTGTCTCTGACTCAATTTTATGACTAATTTCAGGATTCATGAAACAGGAATAGACTAGGTCATTAGCTTGAAAGCAGGGAAAACCCTGAGACCTTTCACAGTCCATGATCCTTTAATTTTCATTTCCCTAAAGATTAATGATGTTGAGCATCTGCTCATATGCTTGTTTACATTCTACCTATCATTATGATGCAATGTCTATTTGAAATATTTCCCCATTTTTAATTGTTTTGTTACTATTATGGCTTAAGAGTTCTTTATATACCCTTGACACAAGTTTTTCATCAAATATAAGTTGCAAATATTTTTTTCCCAGTTTACAGGTTTTCTTTATATTCTCTTAGTATCTTTCAAAGAAAAAACGTTAATAATTTTGGTGAAATCTGATTCATCAATTCTTTCTTTTATGCTTGTGTTCTGTTTGACTTTTAAAGCCATGCACATGTATTGCTGTGATTAAATGCAGTTTTTATAACCTGGAAACAGGGGGAACTCTCATTTTAGAGACAGAAATTTCTATCCAAGGAGCAGCAGTACTTAATTTTTCAAAGTTAAAGACAAATATCTTATATCTTTAAAAAAATTATTTTAAATTATCATTGGTATGCTACTTTTATCAAGTACATTCATTGCCTTTCATTTAATCTCCAAATACTAAGTTATATTGTAAATGTTGAACTAAAAGTATATTTTGTTCTGGTAGATTTGTGGTTGTTTTTACTAATTTGCATTTGTAAAAACCATCTCCTTCTACATTCAGTCTTAATACAGTTTCTTTAAAAAGTGTGCTGGATTGGGTGGGATATAGTACAACCTATTAAAACTCTTTGTTAATGCTATTTAAAAAATATAGTGAGCCCTTTCTGTCTGTGGGTTGTGCATCGATGGATTGAAAATACCATATTAAGAAAATGACAAAAAATACAAATTTAAAACTGCAGTATGACACCTATTTACGTAGTATTTACATTGTATTTGGTATTATAAATAATCTACAGATGATTTAAAGTATACTGTAGGGAGAATGTATGTAGGTACTTGAGCATCATAGCAGGAGGTATGTATCCCAGAACCAATCCCTCATGGAAGCCAAGGGATGACTATAAACTGAATTGTGTTATATGCTAATTTGAACTAATGGAGGCAACCAATCAGGGAGGGGAGGCAAAAACCCTCCCTGAGTTTTATATTATTTTTCTTTTTGGTACCCTGTACTCTTAGTAAAGACATTGAGATAATCTAATTCAGCCGCCATGATTTACTGGTAAAGAAATTGAGGCCAAAGATTTAAATGATTTGGCCAAATTCAAGCAGCTACTTAGTGGCAGAGCAGAGACTTTTCATGGTGAAAGTTACTGTTCAGCTGAATTTTCTACTGCCTTTATTGTTTTGTTGCTGCCTTTATTGTTAGACATTTAAACAACTTTATGAAAACTTTTTTTGTGTGTGTATAGAGAAACTCACATTAGTTAAAATATTTAGTTAAGCCTATCCCTATTACTTGTTAAATGAGTGATTCTGTAAGACTTAAAAGTATTTCTTTAATAGATTTTGAGTTATTTCTTCTAGATAAGACAGGCTGTGAAATGGATTGGGATGTTTTATATCTGATTTACTATAAATTTAAATCTGGGCTACTTGATAAGTTATTTTTAAATTTTTTTGTTTTCATTTTGAGACAGGGTTTTGCTCTGTCACCCAGGCTGGAATGCTGTGTATAGTTATAGCTCACTGCAGCCTCAATGTCCTGTGCTGAAGTGATTCTCCTGCCTCAGTTTCCTGAGTAGCTGAGACTATAGGCACATGACACCATACCCAGCTAATTTTTTTTGAAGACAGGTTTCACTATGTTTCCCAGGCTGTTCTTGGTCTTGAACTCCTAGGCTCAGGTGATCCTCCTGCCTTCACCTCCCAAAGTACTGGGATTACATGAAGCACTGTCCCTGGCCCCGCCTGATAAACTTTGGTATTTACGGTTTTAGTCCTCAAACATTTATACTAAACTGTAAGAGGTTATAGTTATAAGAAATGCTAAGTTTCAGTTGCTTATGATGGCTTTATTTTGAGAACTAATAATAAATTTGAGTGTCTAATACCATAGGATTTTATTTTGATGCAGTAATTACCTAAAATATTTTGCACAATGAACTTTGGACAAAGACAGCAGAGAATAGTTACTTTCATTTCAGTTGTAGAACATGAATCTTTCAAACTTTTTTTCTGGAATAAAGTCCTCAAACAGAAGGTAGACGTTTGAATCTCTCTAGCTTTAAGAATTGATTTAAAATAGGAACCAGAAAGAAATATTAGAACCAACTGATGGAATAGTTGGATTCATCTATTTTCCTCCCCACAGGCCCTCTGGTGATGTTCTTGAGACATTCAATTTCTTAGAAAATGCTGATGATAGTGATGAAGAAGAGGAAAATGACATGATTGAAGGCATCCCAGAAGGAAAAGACAAACATCGAATGAATAAACACAAAGTAGGAATTAGATTTTATATTCTTATTACCTATATATTCATGTAGTTGGAATAGGAATTTTTGCGATGTCTTAAGTTACATTGGGAGTGATCATCTTCATTTTACATATCACTTAAAGGTTTTATGCGTTCAGCTCTTTTTTACATTACAAACAGTAGAAATTATTTGCTATATTATTCACTAAATGGGCAAGAAAGGGTCTGTATTTATAGGACTAGTCCATTGATTTTGAAACCTTTTTAAAGCTACCCCTTTCCACCTCTGCCACAATTGAGAATCACTGTAGAAGTCTGTTTCTTCTTGTACAATACACAAGGGGTAAGTTAACTGAAGTTGCAGTGGGAATACTTCCACCCTGGGTGAGGGAGTAATCTGTGAATTATAAGTAAGTCTCAACATTCTTGTTCTTTAGTAAGGAATAATAAAAATTTATTTTTGCTCATAACCTAAGAAACAGGTTTATCTATTTTAGTGGTTTGGGGGGCTAGCTATAGAAGCAAAAGTAGAGTAGATCGTCTATTTGTGAGTTACCAGAGTAGTGTATAGTATTTCAACCATATAAAAAATGTGGGTAGTTCTAAATGTTGGTACTTTGAGATTTTACAGTAATGTAAGGGAAAAAAATAACAATGTTTTACAACAGTTTCCAGTCTACAAAATCAGTTTTCAGTTTTTTTATACTATATGTGTATTACAGTTTATTTGGTTGAATAGAGATTTTAAGCCTTTTTAGTTTTTTGTTCTGGAAGGTAAAGCACTATTATAATTATCACAGTTATGAACTTAAAGTAGTTACTATGCCATATCTGTGAATGAAGGACTAAGCATGCAGTTTTCCATTTATGAGGTCAATTCAAGATAACATATCAGAATGCGAGTAAGTGACTGGTTCTTCAGTGGAGGGCTCATTATGAATATACTGTAATTTAAGAGATTCACTAATGATTAGCACTTAAACCATTTTTAGTGCCACATTACTTAGATCAATCTTGGCACAGCACTGTTGAACCATTTATCTAAGGTATAATTTGGGATTTATGAATTACATGGGCAATCTAAAGTTTTGGATCCAAGTAATTTTAAAATGGGTGAATATAGTTATGTGACAATATTAAAGGATCCATTTTTAATGTAGAATAAAAGTAATTCTTGGCTTATATTCTGTTTACAGATAGGTAATGAAGGTTTAGCTGCTGACCTAACTGACGATCCTGATACTGAGGAAGCACTGAAAGAATTTGATTTTTTAGTGACTGCCGAAGATGGTGAAGGAGCTGGAGAAGCACGGAGTTCGGGGGATGGCACAGAATGGGGTAAGGTGATAAAGAAATAGGGGGTGGGAGGAAATCTAGCCTTTAATGATGAGCTATTATAAAATGTTACATGTGGAATGTGTGTATCTGAATGTATGGTGGCAGTTAAACTGAGAGCAAGGGAGGTGATATTGAATAATAACCAGGTATTTTGTACCAATTTATTTACATTCGGTGACTAAACTGCTTATAATATATATGGCTTCTGGTGGATTTAGATTTTTGGAATTTGTCTGGATTTAAAGTTGAACTATTTAATTAATTTGAAAATTCAGTTTCTTTTTCTTTAATAGATTTTTTAAAATGTATGTATTCAGTTTTAAACATTCCCATTATTTAATTTGGTATTCTAGATTTAGGAAGATTTAACTTAGTATGTCTATATGGTGTTATCTGACTAATTACTAAGAAGGAATAAAGCTACTAATCCTGAATTATAGCTCTATATTGAGCACAATTTAATGAAGATACTAAACTGTACTGCCTATAATATTCAATGTGTAAAATGTTAGGGCCTAAACTTTAGAAGTGGTACATAATGCTAATAATAATTCAAGCATAACTAAAAGAAAATGATTCTTTATCTGTACACAGTTAAAAACCCCATTAGAAAGTAAAACAAGTTTAAAAAAATATTTTAAGGCAATAGCTGATGTCCATTATGATTTTCCTAGTAAATATGTTCATGCAATCCTCATTTAATATCAGCATGTTGTCTGGTAGGCAGAGCAAAGTGTGTTCACTGAGCTTTTTTGGAGAACATTATTACTTTGTTTTTTTTTTTGAGACAGAGTTTCGCTCAGTTGCCAGGCTGGAGTGCAGTGATGTGATCTTGGCTCACTGTAGTCTCTGGCTCCTGGGTTCAAGCAATTCTTCTGCCTCAGCCTCCTGAGTAGCTGGGACTACAGGTGCACCCCACCACACCCAGCTAATTTTTATATTTTTAGTAGAGATGAAGTTTCACCTCGTTAGCCAGCATGGTCTCGGTCTCTTGACTTCGTGATCTACCTACCTCGGCTTCCCAAAGTGCTGGGATTACAGGCATGAGCCATTGCTTCTGGCCTGGAGAAGGTTATTTTAATACATCAAAGTTTTGCTTAATTACAAGGAAGAGGAATAATTACTAGATTTTTTAAAAAAAATTATTTTGATAGCAAACATTTGGGTTTTTTGAAAATGCCTCATTTATGTGTTTAAATATTGCTAATAGCAAGAGAAAATAAACCTAATATATAATACATTTATTATCTTGATATAAAAAATGAATCAAGGACTTAAAATATTTGAATTTTGCTATCGGTTTTCTTTTTATAATTCTCAAGCATTATTTTCAGACCTTCACTTCTCTCTTTTTCTAAATGGAAATAGAAGAGACACATTAATTTAAAACATGGGAAAACTCCACAATTACTTTGTAGACTACATTTTTGTACTTACTATTTGAAAACAATTGTGTTTTAGAAGGGTACCTTTCTTCAAAATCAGCATTGCTCAGGAGAAACAGTAAAGGTATTTAACTTTTCTTTTAGCTTCTCTGTGCAGGCATTCAATGTTGGAAATACCTTATCTTTTTCCAGTAATCTCAAAAGTATTGTTTTTTTCCTGATTGTTTTATAATTATATAAATACATAATTATTTTGTAATAGAAGCATGTTTTAGAAAACTTAGAACCTACAAATACATAGATTTTTTATAAGTATGTGTATATATATTTACTTAGTTAACAAAGGATTTTGCTAAATGTTGATTTGTAATGCACACTTTTCACTTAATACATGGTTCTTCTGTAGCGCTTTTTGGTTTTTTTGAGACAGGGTCTCTATTTGTTGCCCAGGCTGGGGTGCTGTGGTGCAATCTTGACTCACTGTGACCTTCACCTCCCAGGCTCAAGGGGTCCTCCCACCTCAGCCTCCTCAATAACTGAGACCACAGGCGTGTGACCACACCTGGCTAATTTTTGCATGTTTTTTGTAGAGCCGGGGTTTGTCCATGTTGCTCAGGCACGTCTTGAACTCCTGGACTCAAGCAGTCTGCCTGCCTTGGCCTCCCAAAGTGCTGGGATTATAGGCAAGAGTCACCACACCCAGTCAGCATAATTTTTAATAGCTTCATAATATTCTGTCAATAATGTGCTGTAATTTTATTTAACCAGAGCCCTGTGATGCACATTTATTTTCATTAAAAAGAAAATGATCAAAATAATTTATTGAGTATCTCTTTAGCTAAATCTTGACACAAATTCATTCCTGTTTCCTTAGCCTAAAGTTGCTAGCAATTTAGTCAAAAGGATAAAGAAAAAGTTCAGGAATTTAATTTATATGGAATGGCATTATTTCTTTGATAATAGTTTCCATATTATTTACAACTGATTGATCCTTCTGTCTGAAGACTTTTGAGATTGTAGAGCAGAGTTTTAAGACAACTTTCAATACTTTGCTTTTTATTGTCAATATTTGACAGTGCTTGTGTCTCCTGGGTAAGCAGAAGTAATCGAAAAAATATCTTCCAGACAAGATGGAAATACCATCTTTAAGACATTTTAAGTTCTCGATGAAGGAAAATAACTTGTTTAAGTACAAGATGGTTCAGATAGCTTTTTTTCTAAAAGAAATGAAAACTGTCAAGTGATTTATGCACTGTTTCCAAAGTTCATTATTTCTACTCAACAAGATGTCATTTTTTCCAAAGCAAAGATGATAAATATGCAAGCAGTCTTTATATTTATGAAATTTATTTGCTAAAAATTTGAATATGTTTCTAAATAGCAAAGTGGTAGCTTTCTGAATGATTTTTTTTTTTTTCTCAGTGAGACTGAGTCCCACTCTGTTACCCAGTCTGGAGTGCAATGGCACATTCTTGGCTCACCGCAACCTCTGCCTCCCGAATTGAAGTGATTCTCCTTCCTCAGCCTCCAGAGTAACTGGGATTATAGGCCTGGCTAATTTTTATATTTTTAATAGAGACAGGGTTTCACCATGTTGGCCAGGCTGGTCTTGAACTCCTGACTCCAGGTGATCCACCCACCATGGCCTCCCAAAATACTGGGATTGCAGGTGTGAGCTACAATGCCCAGATTTAAATTATTGGGTATAAGAGCACTGAATTTTTTTAAAAAATAAGTCTTGACTTAATTAAACATACTCCAGTACTTACTCACATTAGAGAATCTGGTTTTTATTTTGTGTATTAGCAGTCAACAATTAACTTTGTTATCTCTGACTTTGAATTTTTTATTTACGAAACCATTGCCTTTTAGCAAGCTTTTAAATGGTCTTTTCACTGTCATCTATATTCGTCTGAGTTTAATGTTAGTAATTTTTCGTTCTTCTTGTTATCAAAAACAATCGTTGGGATTTTTATTTTGCTTTTTATTTCATGGAGACTAGACATTTTAAAATTGTTCATTTATTGTCTCCTGCCTTTGAAACTGTGATCTGTAGAGATTTATAGAAGTACAAAATACAGTTATCACCTGAATGTTTGTACTTAAGCAAAATGGATAAAGTATGAGATTATTTGCATAAAGTTAGTAATAAATTTATGCTACAGTTAATAGATTCGTGTAATTCCTCTGCTTTGGTAATCAGAATTACCATAATAGAATTTCATGTTTTCGTGGGTTTGAGCTGTCAGGAGTCAACTTTCTTATGCATATTTGTGTTTTCTTTTAGACAAAAAAGTTATTGTAAATGATTCAACCTCATTTCTTGGTATTTTTTCCCCCTAGATTTTTTTAAAACAGGATTAATATGTAGAAGATTATGCTGCCTCTTTTGCTCTTATCTATTTCTTATAAGCAATATCAAATCAGCTGTTACTTACCAGGCAAGTTTCAGGATGTTGTTTGTGCACATATGCATTCACCAGCCTGTTCTTTGCACTGCCTAAATTTACTTTTGGTTTCTAGATGTGAGATTATCTTGCAAGTATTTTTTTCCTTAAGCTTATCCTTATTTTATTCCCTGTGCAATTTCACTCCACTCTCTGTCAACTATAGTTAAGAGTTATACACAGTTTTATTCTCTCTACATAGATCTTTTAGAAAACTGTTTGGCTCTTACTACATTTTTCTGTTCTATCTAATTTCCTGTATAAACTTTGTATGACTTAAGGTTTTTTGGTCTCTGTGAGGTCTAGAAAATATTTGCCCAAAAGTTATCAATTTGTCTTGCTTTAAGTAGTTGAAATTAAGAATTGTTAACTTCATTAAGATGAGTGCAAATGATTAATTGTTGAGATTCCTTTTTTTTTTTTTTTGGTATATTCAGTAAGTTTACAGAAGGATTCCTGATGCTGCGTAGTTTTCAGGAAACTTCATGATTTGAATACATGTGAATTGAGTAAAGTGAAATTTCTCTTTAAAACTGTATTACAGCATTACAATTTGTGGATTTGACAGATAACCTTACGTGTGAGTTTTAGTCTTGAGTAACCTAGTTTCAAGTAATTCCAGTTAGCAAATTGATTTAAAGCTTGGGGTTTACTGTTTTACATACTGACCAGCTGTGATCATAGGTAGGATAACCATCAGGGAAAAACTTGACAATTGTAGCAGGAAAAAACTCAAGGTACAGTAAATATTTGCATTTCTGTGTGCCATTCAAATATGAGAATTTATTAAGCTTGGTACATGAAACAATCTATAAAGGAAAAGAAAGGCTTTTTATGTCTACTTTATAGATTAAGTCAGTGAGGCCTAGGGTGGCTCTTACAAAACTTTGTGAGCCAGAATATACTGAGTTATCAAAAACTTAACAAGTCACAGTCTTAAATTTCCTAATGACATGGCTGTTTTAAAACCACACAAAGGAGGGGAAAATCCTCAATATTTAAAATAATTCTCAAAGACTTAATTATTTTCATGTTCCCTCTTTTTAGTGCTGTTTTTCCTCTACTTTACCATGAGTAAATTTTTCTCAGGCACAAGTATTTAGTTAAATATGGATTTACTATTCAGCTAAAATAGCTGACATATCTTTAGCAGTTGCACAGCAATATATATGTTTTCACTCCTCCATGCTGATCACTACTTTTATCCTGAAAAAGAAATCATTTCTAAAAAAATTCTTCAGTGGAATTTGAGTTTTGTTTTTTTGTGTTTTTGTTTTTGTTTTGTTTTGTTTTGCTAATCTTAGTTATAGACCAATGGAAGAAGGTAATGAGATGTTGAACTATTTGGGTGGGTGGGGGCAGAGGTGGGATTCTCTGAATGCTTTGTATGGATTATTCAAGACATTGTATTTTGAACTATATGTATGTATTATATTGGACTAGAATGCCTCTCCATTAGTACAGTTAATCCTGTGCATGCAGAATCAGTATGACAGAAAGTGCATGAATATTTTCATCAATGAAACAGCACTTAACTTTCTGGCTTGCACTTTTCCAAGTAGTTCGCATGTATTTCATTCATTTGCTTTTATGATGCTGGCTGAATAATTTTTATTAACATTTTTATAAAGATGCAGTGATCTATTTTTATAACATTAGATTTCTAATGTCAGTCCATTGAATGAATGATAACCTTCAAATTAGTGGTTCATAAAAATGAAGCACCATTTAACTGTCAGTATTAAATGTTTAGAAACTTATGACTTGGGCATTTAGAGTTTGAGTTGTGAATACCAGAACTGAGACTGCACCTTTAAAGTATTTTGAATATATGCTATTAGTACATTTTATTATGATTATGTAAAGCTATAACAGTTTACTGCCAACAGCTTGCATTGCCAACTGCTGATTTTTTTTCTTTTAATAATATGCTGCATGTAGATAAAGATGACCTCTCCCCAACTGCTGAGGTTTGGGATGTAGACCAGGGACTAATAAGTAAACTGAAGGAACAGTACAAGAAGGAACGAAAGGGGAAGAAAGGGGTGAAGAGTAAGTGCAGATTCTGACTATTATAATTTTTGTGTACCGATAATTGAGAAAAAATTCTTCAATTCTGTTATTTTTTTGGTTTAACTTAATTTTTTTTTTTGTTTCGTAAAGGGGGCAACTAACTTTAAACTTTGTCTGTTGTATAATTGAAATTTGTTTGTATATAATTTAGGATGTTATTTGATCAAGTAGAAAATCATTTAAAATATATGGGAAGGGTGAAGGGAAGATTTTGAGGATTGTTTTTAAACTTTAAAAACTTTACCAAATTGTTAGGAATATTGGCATTGGAATAAAAACTTAATAATTTGTTCAAAAGGGAGAAAAGTATAAATTTCTCCATTTTTGATACGTAGAGTATAGTTATAAACAACTCATATCCAGGTTACATTTCTTAGTTCGGGAATCCTTATATACGGTGAGTAGTAAAGCCCTTTCTATAGTTTCTGCTTTCTGTTGTTTGTAGTTGAAGAGCAATTCTCCACAGTTTAACTGCAAACAACAACAGCAGCCAAAGGAACCTCTTGGGTAGTATATTTTGGCTACTGTCATGCAGGAGATCAGGAGTGGGAAGATAGTGGTGACAGTAAGGTTTGTTTAGTCATTGCTGGATGTCTTGTGCCTGGATGTATTTTTCAGTATGTTGTATATTAACCAATATGTTTATTAAAAGTATAAATCAGCTATAACACTTCTCTCAAGCGATTCACTTCCATTCGGTGAACAAACTTAGAAGTTGCCACATGAAAAATATCTTCAGATGTATGACTATTAACTGGAGAGACTTGAAACTTATTTTTTGGATCTATTTTGAAATGGCCGTTGACTCCTGCTAGTCTAACATTTTGATTATATAAAGCAGAAAATAGTTTGAGGAAAAAGGCAAAAAAAAAATATAGACATTCTTTTATGTTTCTTTGGTGACATACATTGATATGTAAAATGGCAGGTGTAATGGAAAAGTATACAGATTTCCTTCAATAAAATATTTTTTGAGTGATTTCATTTATTGTGAAGGCTAATATGTGAAGTTTTGGGGATTTCACCTGTTAGAAAATTTTCTTTTATAATTTTATGATAGTTTTTGTTATTGCATGTGAATTAAAAGACTATACAGTGAACTGCTTATTGTATTTAAAAACATTTGATACTGAGCTGGGGTTATGTTTAGTTGCTAACATCATTTACCTATAATGCAAGCATGTTGAGTATAAAAGTTCATTTGCATGATTGACTATTTTAGAATAGACAAAATGACATTAGAATTTTAGGGTTTTTTTTTTTTTTTTTTTTTTAAATTTGAGTCTCACTCTGTTGCCCAGGCTGGAATGCAATAGTGTGATCTCAGCCTACTGTAACCTCTGCCTCCTGGGTTTGAGCAATTTTCCTGCCTCAGCCTCCTGAGTAGCTGCAACTGTAGGGGTGTGCCACCACACCAGGCTAATTTTTTGTATTTTTAGTAGAGACAGGGTTTCACCTTGTTAGCCAGGATGGTCTCGATCTCCTGACTTCATGATCTGCCCACCTCGACCTTCCAAAGTGGTGGGATTACAGGCATGAGCCACAGCGCCCAGCCTAGGTGTTTTTTTTTTTTTTTTTTTTTTTTAAGAAATAAAGTAGTTTATTTTAATAGTGCATTGCTTATTTTATGTATAGTATCATAAACTGACTTAATCTGCTGAAGATTTCTTTTGAAATGTTAGATAATGTTGCTTCTAATTTAAAGTAGAAGTATCCCATTTCCCCCTCTTATAGACTATGACTAGACCTATATCTTTTTGAGGTCTAGAAATAAGATAGCAGTCAACTCAAGGTCTTTTTTAGTTGTTGCTTTTAAATTTTTCTAAAAAATTTGTAATTATAAAAAGTATGTTTAAGAAATACTAGATAAACTAAAGCTGAATTTTTAACTCCTCATACAAACTTTAATTCTTTTAGAGACAAAGTCTCGATCTGTCACCCAGGTTGGAGCGCAATAGTGCAGATAATAGCTCAACATAGCCTCAAACTCTCCTGCCCTCAAAGTATCCTCCCACCTCAGCCTCCTGAGTAGCTGAGACTACAGGCACATACTACCACACCTGGCTAATATTTTATTTTTAAAAAGTTTTCGTAGAGATGGGGTTTCTCTGTATTGCCCAGGATTGTCTCGAGCTCTTGGCCTCAAGCCATTCTTTCACCTTAGCTTTTCAGAGTGTTAAGATTATAGGCATGAGCCACCCTGCTTGGCCTTATGTTTTTTTTTTTTGGAGCTTAGTACACATAATATTATAATTTGCCTACTGCCGTCTTAGAAAACATCATTTTATGTCAACAAATAATTCCTTTGTGTATGTTTGTGATTTTTTTCTTTCCAAACAATAGAAAGGAACCCAGTATGTCAAAGAGATGAAAGAGGGCTTCTTTGAATCAGTATCGGGAGACCCCAGATTCGTAACTTAAGGCTTTCATGTCTCAATAACATCTTGCTACCTAGATATGTATTCTGTTATTCAGCCTATTCCACTTTAATTTTGATTTCATGTCTATTTTTTCAAAAAAAAAAAAGAACTTTGCTTATATAATCATAAAAATAACACATGCTTGTTGTTCAGATGAGAAGTACATAGGAATATAAAGAAAAACTATAAAAATCACCTGCAATCCTACCACTTAGAGACTTATTGTTTATTTGGCGTATATTCATCCATCTTTTCTTAAAAGTCGTTATACATAAAACTTCCTTTTTAATATTTTATCTAGAGTATTATTGTTGTAATTTAACTCATTCTTTACTTCTTAATGTTTCATAGTCAACTAAAATATTTTTGTGGATTTAACCTCACCTCCATTAGTTAAACTATAGATTTGTTTCTTATTTTTAAACATTTTCATAAGTATTACTGTCTTTGAGGCTACTAACATAAGTAGATAGAGGGATGAGGTGTCTAGCAGAGTGTCTCAGGAAAGATAATTAAGAAATAGCAAATTATGTTTCTTTTTTATACTTCCTTTATGGAGTTTTGTAAATTAAAAACTTTTTGCTCTTAAATACAGAATTCAATTTGAAAATGTTGGCTCTGAATCCTTGGCATGAAGATAGATTTTAAGAAAATAAAAACTTTTTTTTTTTTTTGGTTTATGGTTTCACAGACTTCGAATGATCTTCATTCAAATAGCTCATCATGTTATTAATAAGATATAATTCTAATATATAATTTTAAATGAAATGGTAATTCATGAATTTCTCAGCATTTTTATCTAGTCCATGTTAGTTATTATTCTAATATTATTCTTATTTAGCTTTGTACACGTTAGAATAATTCATTATCTGTTGCCTTTTGATTTCTTTTAAAAAAAATTTTTGCGGCCAGGCATGGCGACTCACTCCTGTAATCCCAGAACTTTGGGAGGCCGAGGTGGGTGGATCACGAGGTCAGGAGTTTGAAACCAATATTGTGAAACCCCATCTTTACCAAAAAATAAAAAAATTAGCTGGTCGTGGTGGTGCACACCTGTAGTCCCAACTACTTGAGACTGAGGCAGGAGAATTGCTAGAACCTGAGAGGCAGAGGTTGCAGTGAGCCGACATCACACCACTGCACTCCAGCCTGAGCGACAGAGCAAGACTCCGTGTCAAAAAAAATTTTTTTATATTGCAAATGACACATAATTATAAATGTTTTTGGGATACCGTGTGATGTTTTAATGCATTGAATAATGATAAAAATCAGAGTAGTTAGCATATTCATTTCTTTGTGGTTACAGCACTCAATATCCTTTTTCTGGCTACCCTGAAATATAGAATACATTATTACTAGCTATAGTCAACCTACGGTGTTACAGAACCAGAACTTATTCTGCCTACGTAAACGTAAATTTGTATACATTTACCAATCTTGATTTTTTTTTTTATTCCAGAATTTGTTAAGTCACACCTCCTGGATTAGCACTAAGCTTCTACAGTTTTTCACCCCAACTTCTTAAAGGGAAGAAAACTATTTGCTAACTTTACCTTATGGAATCAGCAGATGTAATCCAGTCTTTTTCTCTTTTTTTCAGAAGGGAAAGAGAAAAATGGCAAGAATGCTGCTGACTTTTTAACTTTGTAAAGACTCATTCAAGATTCGACTTTTAAATGGAAAGGCTTCTAAAATCAAGTGCTAAGTTAAAGTTTCTGTGTCTTCCAGATTGTTCACTCCATCCCACCCTTCTTTTTTTTCCCCCACCAGGCAAGAGGAAAAGGGATTAAAAGTGACAGCCTTGTCTTGGAGTGTAGACCCCCTTCAGTATCCTTCTTACTAAGTGAGATACACAATATAATTGAGATGTACTTTATCTTATTAATACTCTAAGAGTCAAGACTATGAAACTAAAGAGGCTTGATGCAGTTATTTTGATCTCAGGCTTCAAAGGGTTAAGCTTTCTTTTCCTTTTAACTTTTTATTTTGACGTAATTTCTGACTTAAGAAAATTTTGTGAGAATAGTACAGAGAATTTCATATACTTTTCACCCAGGTTACCCACCACATGTTAACACTTTACCATACTTGCTTTTCCCTTTCCTTTCTCTAAATATATTATTTTTTATTTATTTGTTTTTTGAGACAGGGGCTCACTCTGCTGCCCTGGCGGGAGTGTAGTAGCACATCGTAGCTCACTGAAACCTCAAACTACTGGGCCCAAGCAATCTTCCCACTCCCACCTCCCAAGTAGTTGGGACCACAGGTGTGAACCACCATCCCTGGCTAATTTTTAAATACACAGGATCTCTGCATGTTGCCCAGGTGTGTCTTAAACTTCTGGCCTCAGGTGATTGTCCCATGTCAACCTCCCAGAGCATTAAGATTTCAGGCATGAGGCTAGGTGTGGTGGCTCACACCTGTAATCCCAGCACTTTGGGAGGCGGAGGCAGGCAGATCACCTGAGGTCAAGAGTTCAAGACCAGCCTGGCCAACATGGTGAAAACTTTTTTGTTTTGTTTTGTTTTGTTTTTTTTGGGGTTTTTTTTGGAATAGTTC